GAGTGTGTGTGTGTGTGAGTGAGTGTGTGTGTGTGTGTGTGCGTGTGTGAATAATGTAAAATCAGTCTTTGAGACATTCAGAAGTTCTTTCCAATCCTGTAATTTTAAGACCAAGATACTGAAATGTTATCCTTGATTAAGTATCTGCAATTCATCCTATGCCTTATTTATATTTGTTTACTGATGTAAAAGTGCTATGCATTTATTGAGACTTTTATTTTGGGCTGGCGGTGTGACGTCATAAGGACGCGCCGCGCTCCCGCGTCTGTGATTCGGCTGCATAAAGGTGCGTGCTTTTAAACATTTAAAGTGTTTAAATCATTAAAACTCGTTTATAGAGTCTGCCAACCGCCAATAAACATTAGAAGAAGAAGACCTCGTTTATAGAATTGTATATAATTGTGTGATATTATTACCGAAAGTAACACGGCAATGTTTTATCTAGTGAAATTAATGAAGGTTATTTTGTGTTAGTAGAACGCATTCGCACGTGAGCAATAGAAAAGGTGCGGCTCATTTCGCTCCCTACTTCGTGAATCAGTTGATCATAAACACGAATTCAGTCACTGGCGAGTAGTGATGGAGAAACGGATCTTTTAAACTCCGAGTCAACTGAATCACTTGCTTTTCAAAATGATTCAGTGATTCGAAGCTCTGGAATCAGCGCGCGCTGACGACACACTGCTGCTCTAAACAGAGAACAACAAACACAAACATGTGTAATGACAACTGTTACAAACCAACTGCTAATGTTTCATTAAAGTGAAATATATTAAAAGTAATTACAAATCAGTAAATACCAAATATTAACCTTCTATATAATTTGTGTCCTTTTATTAATTTGAGTGCTAATTTTGGTTGCTTTTTTGTCTCTTCAGGTGATTTAAGGCCATTAACTCTCACTGACTCCCTTGCCTGTGAACTGAGATGCAGACAGAGATTTAGTTTGGGTTTATATTTATTTCTGTTTATTATTCTCATCTTAAACAGGACAAAGTGTTCAAACGCACAGAAAAACTCCTGCTGAAGCTGAGATCCTCGTGACGCACGATTATAAAGATGGCGTTTATTAAAGAGGAGAGTGAAGACGTGAAGATTGAAGATACATTCAAACATGAAGATACTGAGACACAAACAGGTTGGTTTTCATTCTCAAAGCTGAACTCCGTCACATGTGTGGTTTATGTACGGACACCTTCATTACAGTCAGCATCCATCAAAACTTTACTAGCGCGACGCTGCTTTGCTTTATCCAACTGAGAGCTGTAGTTTGTGTATCATATGCTCATGCAGCGTTTGGGTGTTTTGAGACACCGTTCAGTCTGTATTTTCAGTCTCCAAAACAATTACAAAATACGTATGAGGTGTCGTTAATTTTTTTTATTTAACATTAATCATAAAGTTTATTAATTATAAGAATAGCCTATATTTAACTATATCTAACTGAGCCCCCCACCGGAGTGGGCTGTGAAACTGAAACTGCCAGCAGATTTTGATTGCTTCTATTGTCCTCATTTGTAAGTTGCTTTGGATGAATTTATTTTAGTTATCAATAATAACCCTCTGTTGCACAAAGTAAGATGAATGGCTTTGGACAAATAGTCGTAAAAGTCTGCTAAATGACTAAATGTAAAGGTAATTTTCCCGTGGATTTGTTTACAAACGAGGCACAATTTGATGTGGGATTTTCAGAAGGATTGAAACTAAAAGACAATGTTGTCAACTATATTGAATCCGACAGTAATGTCGCAACACACAAGTGTGAGTAACTGTTTTTATTGTCTGTTTAAAATGTAAATTAACAAACATTTCAGTTTAATGATAAAAATAATTTTAGTATTAAAATTAAGAAAGCTAGGACTTGCATAATTGTTGTCTATTTGTCTTAACTGTGCTCTTCATATTATATTTATATTAGTGTTAATACAATGTAAAACAAAAAAAAAATGACCAAAGACCGATGAGCTATGACAACATGTATTTACATTATGACACAATATACAGGCGCATCTCAATAAATCTTATGGAGTATTCTAATTTGTTGAGATAGTGAGTTGGTGGGTTTTTGTTAAATGTGAGCCAAAATCATCACAATTAAAAGAACCAAAGACTTAAACTACTTCAGTCTGTGTGCATTGAATTTATTTAATACACGAGTTTCACAATTTGAGTTGAATTACTGAAATAAATGAACTTTTCCACGACATTCTAATTTATTGAGATGCACCTGTATAACAGATGACACAATTTAATTTAACTGAATAACCATTGTGTATAAAATCTGCTATATAAATAATCTTGCCTTGCCTTAATTTGTGGTGCTTCCAATTAAGTGATAAAAAGCATTTGCAAATGTTGTACAAAATAAATACACTCATCTTTGCAACAATAAAACGTCCAACACTTTGTTTTACTACCAAATTAAATGTAATCTAATTATTATTAATAATAAAATTGAAACGGTTCCATGACCTCTCGTGAGATCTCGGCAGAAAGTCTATGATTTATTTCTTTTTTTATTGGTCTTCTGAAGTATTCTAATTTGTTGAGATAGTTAATTGGTGGGTTTTTGTTAAATGTGAGCCAAAATCATCACAATTAAAAGAACCAAAGACTTAAATTCAATGCACACAGACTGAAGTAGTTTATTTAATACACGAGTTTCACAATTTGAGTTGAATTACTGAAATAAATGAACTTTTCCACGACATTCTAATTTATTGAGATGCACCTGTATAACAGATGACACAATTTAATTTAACTGAATAACCATTGTGTATAAAATCTGCTATATAAATAATCTTGCCTTGCCTTAATTTGTGGTGCTTCCAATTAAGTGATAAAAAGCAGTTGCAAATGTTGTACAAAATAAATACACTCATCTTTGCAACAATAAAACGTCCAACACTTTGTTTTACTACCAAATTAAATGTAATCTAATTATTATTAATAATAAAATTGAAACGGTTCCATGACCTCTCGTGAGATCTCGGCAGAAAGTCTATGATTTATTTCTAGAACATGATGCATGATGGGATACACTAAGCCTCAAATAGCACTCCGGATAGTTTGGATTAAAAAAATTCTTGCTACATAGAGTATACTGCGTTAGACTAAACGAGACTTGTCACAGCACTTACATATTATTGCTTTTTTGTTGGTTTTGATTGCTTCTATTGTACTCATTTGTAAGTCGCTTTGGATAAAAGTTTCTGCTCTCACCCAGTCCTAAAGAATTTTTGAAATACAGGACAAAACAGGATTTTTTCAAAATAAGTCGGGACACTAAAAATAGAGCTGAAATACGGGACGGTCCCCAGAAAAACGGGAAGTCTGGTCACCCTACTAATAAATGAATGAATGAATGATGCATTTATATAGCGCTTTATCGTCTATTGTTGTACACCCAAAGAGCTTTACAATCATGTGGGGGGGGGGTCTCTCCTCAACGACCACCAGTGTGTAGCATCCACCTGGATGATGCAACGGCAGCCACAGGACAACGGTTGCCAGTGCGCTCACCACACACCAGCTACAGGTGGAGAGGAGAGAGAGAGATAGAGCCAATCAAGTGGATGGGGATTATTAGGAGGCCATGATTGACAAAGGCCAGGGGGGCAATTTGGCCAGGACACCGGGGTTACACCCCTACACTTTTACGAGAAGTGCCATGGGATTTTGAATGACCACAGAGAGTCAGGACCTCGGTTTAACGTCTCATCCGAAAGACGGTGCTTTTTGACAGTATAGTGTCCCCATCACTACACTGGAGCGTTAGGACCCACGCAGACCACAGGGTGCGCACCCCCTGCTGGCCTCACTAACACCTCTTCCAACAGCAACCTAGTTTTCCCAGGAGGTCTCCCATCCAGGTACTGACCAGAGTAGTGCCACAAACTGATCACCTCCATGCCATGCCGAATTGAGGCAGTAATTAAAGCAGAAGGAGACCCTACCAAGTTATTGAGTACATGTACAGTAAATGAACATACTTTCCAGAAGGCTAAAAATGTTTTTTTTATTGGTCTTCTGAAGTATTCTAATTTGTTGAGATAGTTAATTGGTGGGTTTTTGTTAAATGTGAGCCAAAATCATCACAATTAAAAGAACCAAAGACTTAAATTCAATGCACACAGACTGAAGTAGTTTATTTAATACACGAGTTTCACAATTTGAGTTGAATTACTGAAATAAATGAACTTTTCCACGACATTCTAATTTATTGAGATGCACCTGTATAACAGATGACACAATTTAATTTAACTGAATAACCATTGTGTATAAAATCTGCTATATAAATAATCTTGCCTTGCCTTAATTTGTGGTGCTTCCAATTAAGTGATAAAAAGCAGTTGCAAATGTTGTACAAAATAAATACACTCATCTTTGCAACAATAAAACGTCCAACACTTTGTTTTACTACCAAATTAAATGTAATCTAATTATTATTAATAATAAAATTGAAACGGTTCCATGACCTCTCGTGAGATCTCGGCAGAAAGTCTATGATTTATTTCCAGAACATGATGCATGATGGGATACACTAAGCCTCAAATAGCACTCCGGATAGTTTGGATTAAAAAAATTCTTGCTACATAGAGTATACTGCGTTAGACTAAACGAGACTTGTCACAGCACTTACATATTATTGCTTTTTTGTTGGTTTTGATTGCTTCTATTGTACTCATTTGTAAGTCGCTTTGGATAAAAGTTTCTGCTCTCACCCAGTCCTAAAGAATTTTTGAAATACAGGACAAAACAGGATTTTTTCAAAATAAGTCGGGACACTAAAAATAGAGCTGAAATACGGGACGGTCCCCAGAAAAACGGGAAGTCTGGTCACCCTACTAATAAATGAATGAATGAATGATGCATTTATATAGCGCTTTATCGTCTATTGTTGTACACCCAAAGAGCTTTACAATCATGTGGGGGGGGGGTCTCTCCTCAACGACCACCAGTGTGTAGCATCCACCTGGATGATGCAACGGCAGCCACAGGACAACGGTTGCCAGTGCGCTCACCACACACCAGCTACAGGTGGAGAGGAGAGAGAGAGATAGAGCCAATCAAGTGGATGGGGATTATTAGGAGGCCATGATTGACAAAGGCCAGGGGGGCAATTTGGCCAGGACACCGGGGTTACACCCCTACACTTTTACGAGAAGTGCCATGGGATTTTGAATGACCACAGAGAGTCAGGACCTCGGTTTAACGTCTCATCCGAAAGACGGTGCTTTTTGACAGTATAGTGTCCCCATCACTACACTGGAGCGTTAGGACCCACGCAGACCACAGGGTGCGCACCCCCTGCTGGCCTCACTAACACCTCTTCCAACAGCAACCTAGTTTTCCCAGGAGGTCTCCCATCCAGGTACTGACCAGCTCACCCTGCTTAGCTTCAGTGGGTAACCAGTCTTGGGCTGCAGGGTGATATGACTGTGGCAGTACTAATAATGAGTACTAATACTGAGCCCTGTGGCACTCCATACTTGTGTTTGATGAAACATCTGGTCATTTACACAAACAAAGTGGTAGCAGTTGGATAGATAGGACCTAAACCATATGCCAAGTTAATTCTCAAACTATCCAAGAGAATGCTGTGGTCTGTGTTGTCAACACCTCTTTTAGTAGCTTAATGCATATAAGGTCTAGCATACTTGCTGTTGGTTTTCTCTTGATGTTTGTTGTTTTGTGCCATTAAAACCGGTGTTAAATTGTATTTGTCTGTTTTGCCGTAGACCTGATGTCCCTGAAAAAGGAGAGTCAAGGACTCGATGAAAAGGAAGATAAAGATCAGTATGAGAAACATAATTTCATAACTGGAGAAAAATCATTTAGTTGCTCACATACTGAAAAGACTTCCTCACAAAAAAGAGCTCAAATGACTGGAACTACAAGTCATTTAACCTGTCAACAGTGTGGAAAACGTTTCAGCAGAAAAGGAAACCTTAATTACCACATGAGAATTCACACTGGAGAAAAGCCTCACTCATGCCCTCAATGTGGAATAAGTTTTACTCAAAAAGTAATCCTTAACAGGCACATTAGAGGTCACACTGGAGAGAAGCCTTACACCTGCAAACTATGTGGAAAGAGTTTAATGCGAAAAGCAAGCCTTAACAACCACATGAGAATTCATACTGGAGAGCAGCCTTACACCTGCCCTCAGTGTGAAAGGAGTTTTGCACATAAACAAACTCTTAAGGCCCACTTGAGAATTCACACAGGAGAGAAGCCTTTCGCCTGCCCTCAGTGTGGGAAGAGTTTCAGTGGAAGAGGAAACCTTGTAGTCCACATGAGAATTCACACTGGAGAAAACCCTTTCACCTGCCAACAGTGTGGAAAACATTTTTCTCAAAAAGGAAACCTTAAAAAACACATGAATGCACACTGGAAAGAAACCTTCTACAAATGATCAGAATTTCAGAGATAAAGTTACCCTTAGATGTGTACGATCACACTGGTGTGTCGTGAGATTAACTGCTAAATTCAGATCTGCTTTTGTGCTTTAGCTGGTGCTGAGCCAGAGACGGCTGTGCTCAGCGCTTGTCATAGAACACAACTAAACAAGGAAATGTCCTCTCACATTCAACTGCTTTTATTTGAGGGAATTTCTTAACGTGTGTATATATTTGTATGAGCAAAAAAAAAAAAGTCAATATCAAAAGCAGCAGTCAGTATCTTGTGCAACCACCAGCTGCTTTAATTACTATAGTGCATCTCATCCTCATGGACTGAACCTGGTTTGCCAGTTCTTGCTGTGAGATGTTACTCCACTATGGTCACATGTGATCTGGCATTACAAGGAACCATCAGCTGTCCGTGCTGTCTCCCTGTAGCTCTGCCTTAGGCGTCTTACATTACAGACACTTCAGTTTATTGCTCTGTCCTCATGACTCCTGCAGCAGGACAATGGCATGTTTACAGAGGTGATCAGGAACCCCGGGCATCTTTATCCTGGTGTTTTTCAGAGTCAGTAGAAAGATCTCTATAATATCATACGTTATTGTAACTGAGGACAATGGCATGTTTACAGAGGTGATCAGGAACCCCGGGCATCTTTATCCTGGTGTTTTTCAGAGTCAGTCGAAAGATCTCTTTAAAGGGGTCATACGGTGCGATTTCAATTTTTCTTTTCTCTTTGGAGTGTTACAAGCTCTTGGTGCATAAAG